GTCACTTAGTGGAGTGAGGAGGACAGTTATATATATATTTTATATATTTTTATATATAAAATAAAGGAAGCTCACGGGTGGTGCAGATGGGGACTCCTCCGGACAGCACCGCCAAGAGCTCAGAACTAAAGACCTCGAAACACCTGTTATAACCACAGCCCCAGATGAAAGTCCAGACGCTTTTGAAGTGAATAGAAACGTAGAGAATCAAAGGGGATAGAAAACAAACATAAAGAAGAAGCCAGTGGAATTCTCAGAGTTGAAAGCCGAGAGAGTCAAAGTGAAAACTCCCGGGATGGGCTGCACAGCAGCAGAAACTGCAGAGACCGGAGGAAAGTCAGTGAGTGTGAAAATATAGACCACCCGGTTTGTGCAAAAGAGAGGAGCAGGATGTACGATGAACGACGAACAGAGCGTCAGGCCCCTGCTGTGCAAAACCAAAGAACCCAGCGTTCGGGCCATTGGAGCTCCGAACGCATGCGGGAAAAAAAAAAAAAAAGTTGAAGAAATAGTAACAGAAAACTCCCAAATTTATCAAAGGTGTCAAATTAAAATAAGTCTGCACTTACATAAGGAGAGGCTTTAATTAGCAAGAAAGATTACCGCACTGGGGAGAATCTGCTTTGATCTCAGAAATGTGCGATGACTCAAAATCTTACAGAAAAAGGTTTTTCTTTTCCAGGGTGCAGAAGGCAGCTGGCAGAAATAAGCAGAATCTTTGGAGGGGCAGCTGGACAACCCGGTGGGGGTGGGGGGGGGGCGGGGGTGGTGGGTGAGCAGCAGGCCTGACGGGAAAAGGGTAAGCTGGTGAGGGTGTGCCCACCCTCGTGCACTTGCTCGGGCGCCGGGGGCCAGAGCTCAGGGGACTGTAGGAAATAGGGGTCACGCTGAAATTGGCCAAGACAAAGCGGTGGATGGGAAAAGGCGACTGACTGTAGGCTCTCAGTCCAAACACATAGACTTGGGGAATCTAGAAGTTCGGCAAAGGTGACGGAGCATGCTGTCAACAAAATCCGTCTCAGTTCAGGGGCAAGAAAAAGTCTTGAATGCGGAGAGAGGGCAGCAATGCGGTACCCGCAGGTAGACGCATGGCATCCTGGGAGAGACCGAACTTCACCTACAGAAAACAGATGAGGGGCGGCCAGGGGTTAGGAGCGAGGGGCAAGGAGGACTCACGAAGGAGAATACAACTGACCACCTGGGCGTGCTGGGACCTCCCGGATCCTGCTCGCGATACACGCATTCAGATGTACGCAACCGTAGGCCGAAGACGTCGGTTCTACGCGTGTCAGTTGAAAAAGTTCAGTAAAGGTTTTAGGAAGATCTGCAAAACGATATTCACACGCACGAGTCGTTAGGGAAATGCAAGTGACATCTTCTTTCTGTCAGACCTGGGGTTGCTCCCGACCACTGTCTCTGTCTCTGAAAACACGCCCGGCTTCTCGAAGGCGGCCCACCCGCGGCTGCCTGGGCCCCCCGTTTCCTGGTACCGCACAGAGGGTCACTCGCCAAGACCGTGCCTGCCTCCATATGGGGTCCTCGGTACTTAGAAAACGACTAAGACACAAGCTGTAGGCTCCGGGGGCGTCTGGAGTCTGTGCGGAAGCAGTTGCAGGCCACGGTGGGGACCAGGGTCGGGCCGCGGGGGAACTCTGGGGCCCAGGGAAAAAAGCCTGCTGGACGACACGGGCACAGGGTCTGCTGCCTGAGCACAGGACAGACGCCAGGACCTTCGGGTCCCCTGTAGCCACTCACGGTGAGGACTAATGAACAGAAGGTGACCCCGTTCTGGCCAGCAAGGCCACTCGCCGTGCCCGACGAAGCCCTCGGTGTGAACTGTTGCGGAAGGAAATGGGCGGGAGTGTTCGCTCTTGTTGTCCCGCAAGCATGGGACGGTGGCAGGAGGGAGCTGGGTCGGAGGTCGGGCCTGGCTCCTGTATTTCGCTCCCCAAGGGCGGCAGGAAGCAAGATCGTTTCTCATCTCCAGCTCACGGGGGGGCGGGGGGGGGGGGGTAGGGGTTACAGCAAGTCGTCAGCCTACTTTGTCATCCGCTGGCGGCCACACCCGTGGGGAGGGCGGAGGCCTTCCCAGGTGTGGTGGTGACCCCGGGGCGCCCGGGGGTGGGTACAGGCGCTCAGCGCCCAGGATAGTTCTTTACAAACACCCCGTGCATCCGGACAGGCAGGTGGCAGGGGCTGAGCCCTGAGAGGCCATCCTGTCACAGCTGCCCCGTTCACTCATGGGGGGGGGGGTGACAGGAATGGCTTGGCACCATTGTTTCTTATGAGGGGTCGTGCATAGTTTTGTATCCAGCAAGATCTGCTTCTTTTTTTTTTTAAATGTTTATTTGTTTTTGAGAGAGAGAGACAGAGACAGAGAGGGAGGGAGGCTTGTTGCCAGGCATTGGTTCACGCAATGGCAGAGGTTTGGTGAGCCCAGAATGGGATGAGGCGGCTGCGGTATAAGGCTGTCTGCTGCCCAATTGCTTCTTGCTTAAGGGACAATAGGTCTTGTTCTACGAAGGCCTTCAAGTGATTGGGCAAGGCCCACCACATCAGGGAGAGGCATCTGCCCTACCCAAAGTCCGTGGATTTCAAGGTGAATCTCATCCAAAGCACGGACAGAAACACCCAGAATAACGTTTGACCTGATGGAAACATCAGGGCACGGCGGCTGACCCGAGCAGACACGCGGCACTGAGCATCACACCTGGGAACGGAGCCTGGGTGGGACGGTGTCTGTAGTCTATACCGCAGTCTGTGCTCTGACTGAAACAGCGTCAACACCAGTCAACAGCCCCCCAGGCCGCCCACTCTGGCGCCAGACTCCGCCACAGGCTCCTCACGGTCTCCTCGTCCGAACCCGACCTCGGTGTGCCATCTCCCGGCCTCTAGACCCGCTCCCTCCTTCCGCCCCACCAGTCGGTCACCAGACCCTGCGAACTGCTCCTCCTGAAGCTGTCCCGTCCGTGCCTTCTGTGCCAGCCCCGTTCCCGCCCGGGCCCCTGAGTCCAGTCTTGCCCGGACTGAGAGCCTCCCCTCCTTGCCTGAGGAGTACCCAATCCGAAATTCAACCCGTGCCCTTGTTTAACACCCCCCACCCCTGGCCCCCGCAGGTGTATTTGCTCCCCGTCCCGAGCACCTCACACCGATGCGCGCGAAGAACAGACACGTAAGCTCTGTGCACGATCACGGTGTTGCGCGTCTCTGGGGGATAAAGGGCACAGTCCCTTCCTTCCGAAGCTCCGGCCCCAGATCCCGCCTCACCGCTGGCTACGGTTCAGTGAGTCTTCGCGAGAGCACCGGGGTCAGCCCTCAGGGCACCAACTTGCCGCCTTTCCCCTGAACCCCAAGGATCTGGGGTTGGGCTGACCAACCCCATCGACCTGGTGAAGGGGCCACTCCTTCACCGGCCTCTCCTAACAGGCACTCGGTCAAAGGTATGGGAAGGAAATGCGCCGTTAAAGCTAGTTAGACCAGACTAGAGCTCAAACTGACCATCCTGTCTGTCCGCTAACTGATACTGACGGGCAGGTGAAAGGGTGTTTCTGGGGAGTCTCCCCTGCCACCGTGGCTCACCGTTTGGCCAAGCTGACCCGTGAGATGAAGGCTGGCTGCCGTCTTTGACCCCGAGGCACGCTCACACTCTGGCCACGAGAGTGGAGAATTCTCCTGGATTCAGGAGGAGGAGGAGCTGTGTTTATTTACTGAAAGTCTGCTGTGCACCGGGGCCATTCTAAGTTCGGCAAGTCCATTACCATTCCCAAGGTCAGGGGACGATTAATTAGCAAAGATGAGACAGTTTGCTCAGCTGATGGTGGCAGTCAAAACCGGGCGAGGCACAGTCCAGTGAAGGCTTGTTTGGGGATCTGTCCACACCTTCCCCGCTGTCAGTCACACTAAATAAAGAGCGTCCGTGTTTTCCAGAGGAGCACGGACAGACACAGAGATGACTCATCATCGCAGGGCCACATCATTGCCAATTTACTCTTCCTGAACCTTTACAGTAATTATGTCACATCTTTCCCCAACTACCTCTAATGTCTTCCCATTTTTGAAAAAAAAAATGTTTAATTTTTTGGGGTGGAGGGAGAGAGATAGAGTGTGAGTGGGGGAGGGGCAGAGAGAGAGGGAGACACAGAATCCAAAGCAGGCTCCAGGCTCTGAGCCATCAGCACAGAGCCTGATGCGGGGCTCGAACCCACGAACCACAAGATTATGACCTGAGCTCAAGTCGGACACTTAACCAACAGAGCCACCCAGGCGCCCCTAATGTCTTCCCATTTTTAGAGGAAAAAGCCTGTGTTTTGGAAGTCAGTAGGCTTTGTTGATGACACTGTGTCCTAGAACTTTGTGAATGTGTGTGTGTGTGTGTGTGTGTGTGTGTGTGTGTGTGTAAGTGTGTGTGTACCTACTTTGGATCCATCTGGCAATAAAAAGAGATGGAAAAGAAATACACTCTGAAAATTGTCACATCAATTCACTTTCCTGAGCAGAATAAAGCCCCTAGTTGGATTCCGGAAGGCTATTTGGCTGCAGCAAAGGTTGTCATACATTGTAGATAATATTTTATTATTTTATGTAAGTTCGAGTCATTTTATTAGTTACCATGAGTAATATTACCATGAGTGTAATTTTTTTTTGTTATGGCATTTTCTCATGGGATTTCTGTGTCATTTCATTTTACCCTGGTAATAATTTTGACAGAGAAGGAAGAAGGGACTGGCCCGATGACAGAGTAACTTAGCGTCTGCCTTCCTGATAGACTCAATGCTCCAAGCGTCTTGCTTTAAGATTTTTAGCTAAGGTTGTTGAGTGTAGTGAAACGTCCTATGTCCTCCCAACTAATTTTGTATCCTTCAGAAACGGCCTGGATCGGCATCGGAAGAGACAGAGCAGGGCAGCAAAGATGAAAGGCCGACTCTTAACCACTTTGGTGGCATTCAGGCTACATTAGAAAAGATGAATGTTGTGGACCGAATGTCTGCGTCCCCCCGAAACCCACCTGTTGATGTCCTACCCACCCCCCGATGTGAAGGTCGGGCGGTGGGGCCATTGGGAGGTGAATGGGTCACGAGGGTCGAGCCCCCATGTTGGGGTCCCTGCCGTCACAGGAAGATGTCACACGGTCCCATTGCCTCTTCAGCCCTTGAGCTGCGTGAAGTCACAGAGAGGATGTGGCCGTCTGAATGCCAGGAACCGGGAGGAGGGTGACCTCCAGGGATGGCTCGGAGCAGGGCACCTGCCCCAGAAAGACTGCTTGGGGCTGGAAAGATTTGCTCCTCGAGGAGTCACAGTGATGGAAAATGTCAGCAGGGGACCGTCATCCCTGGTGTCAGGTGAGTGATGCTCTGCATCGTCTCAGAGGGGACACGGGGGTCTCCACAACCCCGTCCTCGGAGCCTTCCCTGCTTCTCCCGCTTCTCCGGGTCAGAGCCGGGCCCTCTGTGCCTCAGGGGTGAGAGCTGGAGGAGGAGGAGGTCAAAACCTCACCCAGAGAACGGGGTCAGAACCGTCCGCCGGGCCACGCCCAGAGGTCCTTCCTACCTCTGGTTTCTCTTGCTGCTGTAACAAATGAGCACAAACTTAGTGGTTAAAACCACACACATTTATTATCTTACGGTTTTCAAGGTCAGAGTCTGGGGGCTCCAGGGAAGAATCCTTTTCCCTGGTGGTTCCCACGGCCGGAGGCTGTCTGCCTGCCTTGGACTATGGCCCTTCCTTGGTCTTCAAATCCTGCAACGGTGAGACTCCCTGACCATTTGTCCCTAGTCCTATCTCCCTTCCCAGCCGGGAAGCCGGCACACTCTAAGTTTCCTTGTGGTGACATTAGAGCCCACTCAGATAATCCGGGATCGTCTCCCCACCTCAAGGCTCCTGACTTCATCACATCTGAAGAGTCCCTTTCACCATGGACGCGAACATATCTAAGGCTTCAGGGGTTTAGGATATGGATATCTTTGGGGACCGTGATTCTTCCCTACCACACTTCAGTTATCAGGATCGTGATTTCCGTAAGAGTCTAAAAGACGCTGCATCCAAAGTCGCTCCTCGCAAAGGGACTGGGACAGAGAAACTTAGGGTGTCCCCAGAAAAGAAATAGGGGCTGAGGGTGTCAGGACCTCGGACCTGTCGTGGTCAAGGTTTCTTTGCGATGGTTCTTCAGAGCATTGACCTTCCTTCTCATTAAGAACAAGAAGACATGCGAGCTTGGACGATGGGGACACTTTCTACTGGGAAACAGGAAAAAAGAGGGTCCAGTTGTCAGAGAGGGCTCTTCCTGGGCATGATGAACGTCCTCCTTGTTCTTCCGGCTGCCCAGACTCCTGGGTGAGGCAGAAAAGAACTAGCAAATAGGCTGTGAGTCGCAGAGACCGTGCACCCTCACGCCCATTGCCCTCAGGGTCAACGCCAAGTGCTGGCTTTAGGAAAACATTTTGTGTCAGGTGATTTGTTTCGCCTGAACGTCAGATTTACTTTTGACCGCTGGCATCCATGACAGGAACCATTTACCAGCCTCCTCATACACTCCAGTTGGAACGCTATTTGGAACGTACATTTTGTGTGGCCTTTTCTATAAGTGTTCTGCAAACATCTCACTAGGTTATTCCACCTGTTGCGAGAGACAGAGCGAGTATAAATGCCATTTCTGTTTTACTAACGAGAGATCAAAAGCTAGTTGAGATTAAGTGTCATTAGAGGTAAGGACATCATAAGTGGAGACGCCAGGCATCAAACTCTGTCTTGTAACATTGAATCCCAAGTGTCTTCTTCACGTGTTAGGCAGATGACTGGCCCCAAAGATGTCCCGATCCCTGAAACCTGTGAATATGTTAGTTTACGTGATCCAAGGGGCTTTGCAGGTGTGGTTAAGATAAGGATATGGAGAGGAGGAAATCATCCTGGGTTTCTCAGGTAGACCCTATGTGGTCAGACCCCGTGTGACCCTGTGTGGTCAGAAAGGCGGGAGGGACAAAGGCTTCGGAGAAAGAGATGTGCCCGTAGAAGCCGAGATCACCGTGATGTGGGGCCGCGAGCCAAGGAATGTGTACGCCCTTCGGAAGTGGAAAGAGGCGAGGAAATGGATCCTGCCCTAGAGCCTCCAGAAGAAGTGCCGTCTTGCAAACATGGTGATTTTCGTCCAGTGAAACAAACCCATTTTGGATTCACAACTCTCTAAAACTGTAAGAGAATGTGTATGGTGCTGAGCCACTAAGTTTGTAATAATCTGTTACAGCAACGATAGGAAATGGACACACCCAATCTCCCTTATACTACCCCCAAGACCTTAACCAATATGTGTATATATACTATAGTATGTGTGTGTGTGTGTGTGTGTGTGTGTGTGTGTGGAGAGAGAGAGAGAGAGAGAGAGAGAGAGAGAGGAGATATAAAAATAAATTTTATATTTATTATATTTATTATCTTAAATTATTATTATATTAGATATATTAAATTATCATATATTAAATTATATATTATAATTATTATATATTAAATTATTATATTTATTATTAAATTATATAATATTATATTATATTTTAAATTTTATATTTATAGGTATTTTATATTACATGTAAAGATAAAACATATGTTATATATTGTATAATATATACAATATTTATAGTTCCACCAAGATACTGCTAGAGACCTGGAAATTTGAGATATATTTTCTTGCTAATGTCACGTAAATGGGAAACTTCGTTACAGTCTGTCCCACAAGGGTGCCTTACGTTACTTAGGTTCCTTCTACTCTCAGAACAAAATAATTTCCATGTGGTTTAAGACAATTTATGTCGTATTCACTGCAAGTGCCTGCCGTCATCACCTCTTACTGTGTTATCAAGCCGTCACAGGGCTAGTTATATTAGCCTTTTTATTCTGCCCACGCCAGAAGGCACTGCCCCTCCCAGGGTGAGCTCATTCCTGGAGCAGCCAACATCTCACCGGGGAGGGTGCCGACCGTGTGCAAACCAACTAACCCAAAGCCCAACCACCTCCTTGATGAGGCTCCGCTCGGCCACTGTCCCCCCTGCTCTAATCACCCCCAGAGCTGGGTGCCAGACCACTAGAGACAGCCCTTATGCCCCAGACACCACGGAAATCATTCAAAGGAGCCAGCCCTAAGCTCCCTTATCCTGCCGAGTCTTGTCTCTCCGGCAGAAACCACAGGAAGGCTGCGGCCCGCATCCCCGCCTCTGCTTCCTGACCAGCCCTGGCATTTCCCTGCGTGGCCTGTCTCCTGCTTCTAGGGGACTGTGAAAGGCAGACCTTCTTCCTGTGTGACGGCCGTGTCCGTATTTGTGTGTCTTACCGTAGCTGACTAAAACAGACCCCAGGAACACTTAGCCTGCTGTAAAAGAACCTCACAGGGAAAACACTCCGGCCCGTCTCCCAGTGTTCACAGGGAGGGAGGCAGCAGGAACAGCCTGAGACGGATGAGAAGGGGCCAGACTGCCTGCACTCCAAGGACTATGCTCCAGAGGGATTCGGTCTCTTTCGCAGACCCTTCCCGTGTAAAGTGTGACAGGCTGACTGCCCCATCCCCCAAACAGTTCCACATTCTAATTTCTGGAACATGCAAACGTTACTTTACACGGCAGAAGGGACTGTGCAATGCGATTAAGTTAAAGATCTTAAAAAACGTGCAGATTGTTCTGGATTATCCGGGTGGGCCCAGCTTAATCACAACGTAAGAGGGAGGCAGGAGATTAGTTAATGGGAAATGTAGCAGCAGAAGCATAAGACTGTAGGAGGAGCGGAGGGGTCTGGAGCCAAGGCTTCAGGATGCCTCTTGCAGTTTGAAGGGACCAGCCCTGAATTTAGCCCAGTGAAACTCATTTTAGACTTCGGACCTCCAGAGCAGCGTAAGAGTAAATTTGCGTGGGCTTAAGCTACGAGGCACGTGGCGATTTGGGCTGGCAATCATAGGAAATTAATACAGAAGGCGAAGAGGAGAATCCAGATCACCTGCACGCTCCACAGGTGTATTGACGTACATCAGCGCATTATATACATCAGTATCTGTGTTCTTGGAGAGATCGGAAGAGAATTTTGGCTTTTCGAAAACAACCCTTACCGTGTGCTAATGTGGATCTTTCCTAAAAGCAGAGTGGCTTAGCACAGACTTTGGGAGAGTGGGGGATAGAGACCGTCCCCTTCATGCCCCTTCAGCTTACAAAGGGTTTCACAGGGACCCTCTCTCTACCTTCCGGGAGAGGCCTGTGATTAGAATTTTGCCTTGCCACGGAGACATCATGCCACATTTAAGTTGGCGAGTTTCCCCCAGAAGTTAAAGGGAAATTTGTTTCCCGGGTAAAATCTAGACAGCTTTTTAAACTTTTGCCCCGTGATTTCCGAAACACAGAAACACACACGCATACGGTCACCGACACAGACAGAAGGGCTCGGGAGGCAGCCGGTGGGAAGGCCCTCTCTTCACAGAGCCCCACGGAGGTCACTTTGTGGCCAGCAAACCCCACCGTTGTGCGGGGTCCTCAGGTTTCAGACCTCACCTCCCGGGCCCCAGCCTTGGTTTCTCCGGGAGGTGTCCTCACGGCCCCTCGAGGTATGGGTCGTCGTTTCTCAGCTACCTGGACTCTTGTTGTTTATGGGGTGGTTGCTGTCGTTTCGTGGTTTAACCGGTATCCCATTTCCTTTCTCGCCCCTCCGTTGGAAAGAGGAGGAGAGGCGGTCATGAGCGAGCCGAGATTTCCTGAGGCACAGCTGTCTCGGAGTGTCGTTTGTGGCCTTATTTCTTCAGTTTCTTATCATAACATGGCCTTGTTCTACTGTTTATGTAACTACACAGAAACAGCGCCTTTCAAATTTCATTCAGTTTTAGAAACACAATTTGGAAATGTTTCTTATAATGCATAGGATTAATCTTTTGAAATTTTAGGCACTGGTGTCTCCATACGTAGAGACCGGAACAAGACACGTGCTTACATTTAGGGAGAGAGCAGGAGGAGAGAAGACACATCACGGCCTCGGGAAGAGTCTTCCAAAGAGAGTCGAACCTGCACATTAGCCTCCACTCAACCCCCTGGCTACAGTAGACTCGCGGGGCTGGGGAACACATATGACACCCACACCAGTCCGCAAAATAGAGACTGGGAGCAACCCCGCAGGATGAACAGCCCAGTTTCTCCCAACAGTTTCAAGAGATAAAAGAGGAGAAAGTGAGACAGACAAGGTGAGATGGACTTTATGTGGATCTCATTTCAGAGAAACAAAGAGTAAAAAAAATTGCATTTCTGAGATATTCTACAGTTGAAAACTGGATGGATGGATGAGATAGATAGATAGATAGATAGAAGATAGTTGATAGCAGATGGATGGACGGATGGACGGATGGACGGATGGATGGATGGATGGATATACATAAAGGATAGAGACAGAGATAGAGATAGAAAGATACATAGATAGGTAGATAGATGATAGATAATAGATAATTAATAGATGATAGACAAATAGGGTCCCACTTTCCAGCCCTCACCCCTGTGGATCAATAAGTAGAATATAAAGCAGTTTTACAAACGTAAATGAGCTTATAAATCAGTGGGAATCCTGTTAAAAATCATAACCTGAGTTAATAGATCTGTGGCAGGGCCCACGGTGATGCTGACGCGGCAAGTCAGCGGACCACACTGTGCATAAACAGCGGGTGTATAGACATTAAAGGTCGAGACAGACTAAATTATAGGGGAAATTCTTCAAATCCTGAGAAGGTTTTAATAATACGGAGCCACACTGACATCATAAGACAAGAATTCCGCCTTACGTACAGCACGTGACCATTATTCTTATTACCGTTACCTTCTAGTTGTCTTTTTTCTCCACTGAGCTGAATTCACCACCTGCTGTACTACTAGTGGGTCAATTTATCGATGTAGCTTTACTTTTTTCACTTAAATGGTATAATATGAGCATTTCCCCAGTAATTAAAAAATCCCGATAAAGTAAAATCTGCACAGATTTTTTTAAGTGATCATACTGTAGGAAAAGACCCCGTGTGTGAAAACCAACAGCCTCTTTCCCACCATCTACAGCCTCTGTCTCCAGCAGCAACATTTCATGTTTTCCATTATCTGGATTTATGTAAAATAACATATGAAATAAAATGTCCATTATTTTTAAAAAAAAATTTTAACTTTTCTTTTTAATATTTATTTATTTTTGGCAGGGAGAGAGAGACAGACCATGAGCGGTGGAGGGGCAGACAGAGAGGGAGACACAGAATCGGAAGCAGGCTCCAGGCTCTGAGCTGTCAGCACAGAGCCCAACGCGGGGCTCGAACCCACGGACCGCGAGATCGTGACCTGAAAATGTCCATTATTTTTATAGGTGATGTTCCTTATAAGTCAATAAAATAAAATGCATACATCCCATTATTTCTTGATCAAACCACTTTGGAAAATACCCAAAAACTCTTTATCATGAAGGATAAGACATTTGGCATATAAATAGATGAAATCATTATTTTGAAAACTCTTAAGAGAAAAAGTCATTTGTCCCGCATTTCCTATGTGGGCTTTATCAAGCTAGCTGAAGAGTAGACGAGGCAGAGTTTCTTGTTACTTACGTGTTCCGGCTAATGAGCGATTGAGACGAATGTAGAATGGCACCATTTTGCAGCCCTAACAGTGAATGGATTTAGACTTTGAGCATCAGCTCAGCCAACATGGCAAATGGAGGCGGTCAGAGAGTATTTGCTCCTGATGGAAAAACACACCATCAACTGCAAGACAGTCTGCCAAAAATGAAAAACTGAACCTGGTCAAGTCTCCATTCCAGCTATAATTGATAAGAAGCCGAGGACAAGGAGCATGTCAAATTCAGCACTACCAAAAGACAATCAGCAGAATTGAGAATGTAGGAAACTAGTGGCCAAATGATCAGATTCGTTCAATAAAAATATCAGAAGGAGATAGGATATATATATTTAAGGGACACGTCAGCACAGCAGGTGTACTTTACCTGGATCCTGACTCGGACACACTAAGGAAAATGGAGATAATGTTGACATTTATGAGAGAATTGAAAATTTGAATACTAACCGGATTTTAATTGTGTTAACGAATTATTGCTACTTTCAGGTATGATCATATTAATTGGAACTATGTGTTTTAGCAGATCTTATCTTTCAGAGATATGCTCTGAGGGGCGCCTGGGTGTCTCGGTCAGTTGAGCATCGGACTCTTGATTGTGCCTCAGGTTATGATCCCACAGTTCATGAGATCGAGCCCCACATCGGACTCTTCTGACAAGGAAGAGCCAGCTTGGGATCCTCTCTCTCCCTCTCTCTCTGTCCCTCCCCTCCCCGCACCCTCTCTCAAAATAAATAAATAAGCTTAAAAAAAAAAAAAAGAGAGATGCTCTGAAATATAGCTGAAATGATACATTGGAATTTGTTCCAATACATACAGGATGTGGGAAATGGAGACGGTACAGATGGGGTAGGTTGGCCATCCTGTTTTAATTGTATGTGTATAATTAATAACAAGCACTCAACCAATAAAACATAAAAGAAATAATTAAAACAAACAAGAAATTTAGCTTACCTACTGCTTCCTCCTTCCCTGCCACCTCCCACATTTCATATGGGAATATTATTCTTATTTTTCTTTTCTGGCGGATGGATTTATAAATGTAAAATTATATGCAGCCTGATCCTGGGATGGGATGCTGACTGGGACACAACAATCTGTGTCTATCACTGATGTGTGAAGAAGCCTCACCGGAGGAAATGGGGAGGAAGGTGTTGTTCCAAGTAACTTTGGAGCTACGTGTGGGTCTGTAGGACTAGAGGCGAAAGGGACTGTGTCTCACACTGTACTCCGGTTGATAAAGTTGTTTCCAGTTGGGGCGCAGGTTAGCAATTCTGATACCACCGTCCCTGTGCACTGGAGTTGGACAAATCAGGAAATGGATGGCAGGTAGTGGGAGGCAGGCTTCCCACTGTTTAGAGTCAGAGGGTGTGAATAATTACGAGGAGGATGCCATGATGTTCCACTGATAACAGATTAGAGTTGCAGACATCAGTATGAACTCCTGGTGAATCGAATATTGATACAGAGGGATGCGAATACAAATATTCATAGATGTGTGTGTGTAGACTGGGTAGTGCATGCATAGGGGCTTCCTTACTGTCATCCGAGAGGGTCTGGAAGCAACAAAATCCCAGTAGCAATAAACACATCCAGCGCCCAGATCTTGGTTTCTAATACCATTCTCAATAGGAGAAACCAGGGCTCCTTGGAGACGTGGCTGATGACAGGGCTGGGACAGGATGTATGTCTAAGAGAGGAACGTAGAGCCAAAAAGTGAAGTGCTCACAAACAAATCAAAATGATGGGAATGTGTCCAAGAGCTGCCAGAGTCAAGGGGAAGGGTTCCCAAAGGCCAAAGCTAGAACGACTTGAGCAGAAATAAATAGCAAATACTTTGGAGTCCATCCCAAAGTATAAAATAAGTATCTACGAGTCTATCCTAACCTACACAGATGATGCGGTTATAAGTAAACGGGCGAAGAGTAGACAAGTCTCCCCATGTAGCAGACCGTCGGTTTGGATAAGCTACCCTCAAGCTGATGAAGCATCTCTACACTCAAGCAGGGGCCGGGCATGCTGACCTGCCTTCAGAGAAGATAGTGTGGGAAGTGGGAAGAAAAGAGACACTTTTCTTTTCTTGCGGATGGATTTATAAATTTAAAATTACATACAGCCTTTGTGTAGATACTTTTGCGTCGGAACCTCACAAACACCGTCTCAGCCCGGTGAGCCCGGTTAATAACGTCAACAGATATAAGTCAAGTAAGTAGCATGCGCCCTTGACAGGATGTGGTGAAAATGGCACTTGACCTCTGTGGCCAGGTGCCTCTTCCAAACACGTAGTTCCAGCCTTCGCGTGACGAAAACACCGGATAAATCGCAGTAAAAGGACTTTCTACAAAATGCTTGACGACTAGTCTTCAAAACTGTCACGGTCATTAAAGGCAAGGAAAGTGTGAGAAACCGTCACAGCCAAGAAGAACTTAAATAGACATGGC